GGAGTCACCAGTGACCTCAACAGGTGCAGGCACGGGAGGGTCTACCTGAGAAACACCTGAGGGAGCAGGACCTGGCGCGGGGAGGGGGTGTACCTGTGGAGAACCTGGAGCGAGGAAGAGCGGCGGGGGGGTGCGAGGAGAAGTACGGTAGGGAAAGAGACGGTAGAAGGGAACGGACTCGTCAAAGGTGACATCCTGAGACGTTAAGACACGGCGCGAGGTGGGCTCGTAGAACTGCCAGCCAGGCGCGTCAGGAACAAAGCCAAGGAAAACACAGGGAATGGCGCGAGCGGAGAGCTTGTCCGCAGTAGTATCGCGGACAAACGCACGAGCACCCCAGACCCGGAAACGCGACGCATCGCCAACCTTCCCCGTCCACAGCAGTGTGGGCGAGGTCTCCGGCAAGGAGACACGGGGCCAGAGGTTGAGCTGATGCGCGGCGTACCGGACCGCAAACGGCCACAGAAAATGGGGAGCAGCCGCATGGATCATGGAGGTGCGAGCGACCTCCATGACTAAGCCAATGCGGCGCTCAGCAACCCCATTCTGCTGTGGAGAGGCTGGAAGCGTGAACGACTGGGTGATGCCGTGCTCCTCACAGAAGGCTCGCAAGAGGTCGGAGGAGAACTCACCACCTCTGTCAGAGTGCAGACGCAAGACAGGAAAGTCCGACTGGAACCGCTCGCGGAGCTGGAGACGAGCAGCGCGGATCCAGGGGATCAAAACAGTAGGGACGTCCCCCTTGCTGCGCAAGGGGAAGACCGTGGTGTAGCGCGTGTAGTCGTCAACTACCAGCAGGAAGTACCGCTCGCGGCCCTGCCCCTGGACGCGGGCCGGGCCCCACACGTCCAGGTGGAGAGTCTGCAGTGGAGCCTCTGTGGGAGGGAACGAGGAGGAGTGAGGAGCGGCGCGCTGCTGCCCCTCGACGCAAGGAATGCAGGGAGGCGCAGGCGAGGGAGGGAGGGCAGGGAGAGACCTGGGAAGGCCAGAGACCAGGCAGCGAGAGTGCATGCTACGAAGGCGAGGCAGGGAGGGGTGACCAAGGCGGTGGTGCCAAAGGAGAGTGTCGTGGGACAGGCGGCGGCACTCACACTGGGTGGCAACCTGAGCAGACGCGTACAGCTGTGGAGACAAAGGAGTGTAGCGTGAAACAGTGGTGAGGGTGTACAGACTAGACCCTGGCTCACGTGTGAACGTGGCCAGGTGGCGGCCGGTCTTGGAGCATGTACAGATCGCCACACGCTGTCCTCCAGGAGTCCAGGTGTCAACCCAGTGATCCTGAAGGACGGCGTTGCTCACCAAGTTCGTAGAGAACGAGGGAACATGGAGACCAGACAGCTCACCAGACGGGACCGCTGGGCACGGAAGCACAGTCGTGGCCCGTGCAAGCACTGGACCCCCAGAGGGGTCAGCCAGTGAGACAGGAACAGGTGCAGGGAGAGGGGTGACAGTGGTGCTGTCGCGAAAGAAACAGCGGGAAGCACCAGAGTCAAGTGTGAACGTGTGCAAAGCCTGAGCGGACGCAGTACCAGGGAGAGCAGACTCACTAGCACCTAGGGCTGCAGTCTCTATACCTGGGTCAGGCGGCACACACAAGTAACAGTCACCCTCAGCACTAACAGTCAATGCATACATAGCAGCAAGAATAGCATCATAGTCCAGATCAAAGATAGGAACACCACGCCTAAGCAGATCTGCCCAGTTGGGGAACTCAGTAGCATCAGGATACTTTGCGCGCCAGGCGTCACTAAGCCTAGCGAAGCAGCGGAACTCGGTGTGAAAACCGTCGCAGGTGCGACCCTGGCGGGGACCTGTGCGAATGACATAGGGGCAGCGGTCAGAGCCCCTAGACGCCCCACGCCCAGCATACCAGTCATGGAGCTGCTGGGAGGTGGGAGGCGGACGCTGCTGCTGCTGCTGCTGCTGCTGGCCGCCACCAGCGCCACCCTTCTGGCCAGATCCACCCCCACTCCCACCTCCACCACCAGTGCCGCTGCCTCCTCCCCCACCACCTCCGCTGCCGCCACCACCGCCCCCGGTCCTGCCACCACCCCACCCACCACCTACACTCCCACGGCCACCCCCACCACCGCCGCCACCCCCGCCGCCTCCACCACCGCCCCCTCCACCGCCACCTCCGCCACCCCTGCCACCCTTGCCGCCCTTGCCTCCGCCACGCTTCCCACCAAGAGCAGAAGTGGCGTGGACCTTCTCAGCACCGAGAAGGTCAACAGCAGCAGCAGCAGAGGCATAGGAGGGGGTAAGAGGGGAGGGGGAGCATCCCTCAAAGAGGGGAGTGCGGGGAGTGCCACGAGCAGCATTCACAGCAAGAATGTTCTTCTCAGCTGCAACTAGCTGCTGCTCGAAGTCATCTAGGGTGATGGTGGGAGGGTCTTTGGCGAGGAAGTAGTCCCTAACGGAACGGAGCGTGTCGGGAAGGCGGGTGACTAGGATGTAGAGGGTAAAGTACAGGGGGGGTTTGTTCTCGGCGAGGAACTCGTCAGAGAGAGCGGCACGAAAGCGAGCGTCACTAGTGCGGAGGTGAGAGATGAGGTCTGCAGCAGTGGAAAACGAGGCGAGGTCGGGGAAAAGGTAGGGTAGGATGAGGCTACCAACGGCGGCAGTGGCTGGGGCGGAATAGCGGGCAACTACTGCGTCAAACAGTTCCTTAGCAGTCTTAAGCTGGTTGAAGTGTGCGCGCTCGGAGATAGGCAGGTGGTTGTGAATATCTAGGCGGGCAAGGGCATCACGGGTCTGCCATTCAGCGCGTTCAGAGGCAGGAGCAGTAGCAGCGGGAGCAGGGGCAGTGCCATTGACATAGTCTAGCAGAGAGGCTCCGTCCTTGGTATTGGTCAAAAGGTAGAGCTGCAGGTCACTGAGCCAGGTGTCAAACTGAACAGGACTACCGTCAGGCTCAAAGTCGAGAACAGAAATAGTCGCCATGGTCACAGGGTGAGGAAATGCAGCAGGCACAGGCTCAGGCTCAGGCTCAGGCGCAGGCAGCAGGCAGGCTCAGGCAGCAGGCTTAGGCAGCAGGCAAAGGCTGCAGGCTCAGGCAGCAGGCAAAGACTGCAGGTTCAGGCAGCAGGCTCAGGCAGCAGGCAAAGGCTGCAGGCTCAGGCAGCAGGCTCAGGTAGCAGGCAAAGGCTGCAGGCTCAGGCAGCAGGCAGGCGCAGGTGAGGCAATATGGTGGCGCCGGCAACTGATAGTAGGCTCTGGTAGTAGGTAAAGGCTGCAGGCTCAGACAGGAGGCTTAGGGAGCTGGCTCTTAGAGCAGGCAGGCGCTCAAGGCAGGCAGGCGTGCTGCACATGGGCGGCGGTGGCGCACAGGCAGGGCAGGGCACGTGCGGATGCGAGCTGCGCGCGGGCTGATAGAGCGCGGCGCTGGCTGCGCGGGCTGCGCAGGCTGCGCGCGGCTCGGCGCGGGCTGCGCGGGCTCGACGCGGGCTGCGCGGGCGGTGCGCAGGGCAGCTGCAGGCCGCGTGCAGGCTGCGCGGGCTCAGGGCGGGCTGCGCGGACGACTAGCAGGGCGCGACGCGGCTGGCAGCGGTGGCGCGCGCTAAAAAAAAAAGCTATGCGCGCAGCCGAGGCGCGCGCGGGCAGCAGGCACGTCTGATAATGCCGTAGGTGAGGTAACACGGTAATCGGTGGCCCCAAATCTTAGGTCCTAAGACCTACTGCTCTAGATACCATCTTAGAACTTAGACTAGGAAGGAATGGTTCGATTAGGTCAAGGGGGGGGTACAAGAGAGAATGTCGAGAGAAATTTTGTACCCCCTAGTGCTACCCCACTACAGCCTAGACAAAGCCAACATACAAATATAGTTTGACACCGCGCGCCGCCCCTGCAGCCCGCAAGTCGCCTGTCTGCAGCCCGCGCGCTGCCCCTGCTGCCCCGCGCGCCGCCTTCGCTGCCCGCGCGCGGCCCTTTGCAGCCCCGCGCGCCGTCCCAGCAACCCACGCGCCGCTTATACTGCCCCGCGCGCCGCCCCTGCAGCTCGCGCACTGCTGTTTGCGGCCCCGCGCGAGCCCCAGCAGCCCGCGCGCCGCCCTTGCTGCCCCGCGCGCAGCCTCCGCAGCCCTCGCGCTGCCTCTGCCCTGCAACGTGCGCCGCCCTTGCAGCCCGCGCCCAGCCTCTGCAGCCCTTGCGCTGCCTCTGCCCTGCCCCGCGCGCTGCCCTTGCAGCCCGCGTGCTGCCTCTGCAGCCCGCGCACAGCCCTTGCAGCCCCGCTCGCCGCCCCTGCAGCCCGCGCGCTGCCCTTGCAGCCTCGCGAGCCGCCTCTGCGCCCCCCGCGCTGCCTCTGCCCTGCCCGCGCGCCCGGCCCTGCCCTGCCCGCGCGCCCTGCCCTGCCCTACGCACGTCCTGCCTTGCCGCGTGCCGCCCTGCCTGCTGCCCGTGCGCCGCCATTCCTGCCTTACGCTCTACCCTGTACTGCTCGCTGTCGGAATGTGATGTTTGTCTAGCCTGCAGTGGGGTACTCTATAGCGAGTACAACCCAAATTAGGGTTTGCTATATGTACTCAACTGCGTGTTAGTGAAAACCTCTCTTTGCTGTTTCTGATTCTTGCCTAGGATTCTGACACTCGCTATTGCCTCCCTCGCTCTTCTCGAGTTCGACCCTAAGGGCCGTCCTCTTCAGTTCGAAACATGGCTTGATGACCTACAGCTGTACCTGCTGAGCGATATTAAGGACGGTGTCTCCCTCTTTGACCACACGTCTGGAGCCTGTACTGCCTCCCCTGACACAGCTAACAGTGCGACTCGCTCACAGTGGCTTACCCGTGACGCTGCCGCTCGCCTAGCCGTTCGCAACCACCTGCCGATAGCCGAACGCGCTCACTTTGGCCAGCATAAGACCGCTAAAGCCCTATTCGACGCTGTAGTCGCTCGCTATTCCTCCCCTGCCACAGCAGCTTTCGGCCGCCTTCTCCTGCCCTACCTGTATCCCGAGCTGTCCTCCTTTGCCACTGTAGAGGACCTCATTACCCACCTTCGCGCCATGAACGCTTGCTACCGAGCTGCCACCCCAAATGAGTTCCTCCCCAAGAACGAGCCCCCGATTTACATCACTCTCTACTTTATTGTCACTCGCCTCCCTGACTCCCTTCGCACAGTTAGGGACCACTTTCTCGCGCTTCACCCCACTGAGCTCACCATTGACCTGCTCGAGAAGCATCTGCTTGCAGCTAAGAATAGTGCAGTCGCTGTAGGTGCTATTCGAGGCGCCCCTCGCACGCCCTTCTTTGAGGGGTGCTCCCCCTCCCCTCTTGCCCCCTCTGTTGCTACTGCTGCTGCTGTCGACTTCCTTGGTGCTGAGGAGGTCGGTGCCGCTTCTGCTCCTAGTGCGAAGCGCCGCAGCGGCAAGGGCAAGGGAGGCAAGGGTGGTGGGGGTGGCGGCGGAGGGGGTGGTGGTGGCGGCGATGGGGGCAGTGGTGGCGGGAGTGGTGGTGGGAGTGGGGGCGATGGCGGCGGTGGTGGCAGCGGCGGGAGTGGCAGTGGTGGTGGTCGGTGCGGTAGTGGGAGTGGTGGCGGCGGTACTGGCAGCGGAGGGAGCGGTGGCGGCGGCAGCGACAGTGGTGGTGGTCGGGCTGGAGCAGTTCAGCACCAGCAGCAGCAGCAGCAGCGTCCGCGGGAGAAGCTCACGCCCCAGCAGCTTCTTGAGTGGTTTGCTCAGCGTGGGGCGTCTGGGGGTAGTGCTCGCTGCCCGTACGTCATTCGCACAGGTGACCGCGCTGGTCAGACGTGCGGGAAGTTTCACACCCAGCACCGCTGCTTCTCCCGCCTAGACGACGCTTGGCGCACTGAGTTTGGCGAGGAGGCTGAGATACCTCGCTGGGCAGAGCTGCTTAGGTCTGGGCTTGATATCTTTGCTCTTCACTATGATGCTATCCTTAATGCCATGTATGCGTTGTCTGTTAGTGCTGAGGGTGACTGTTACTTGTGTGTGCCGCCCGACCCAGGTATAGAGGCTGCTGCTCTAGGTGCTAGTGAGTCTGCTCTCTCTGATACTACGCCTACTAAGGCCTTGCACACCTTCACTCTTGACTCAGGTGCTTCCCGCTGTTTCTTTCGTGACAGTACCGCACTCACAGCGCTCCTTAGACCGATTGCGGTCTCCCTGGCTGACCCCTCTGGGGGTCCGGTTCTTGCACGTTCCTCCACTGTGCTCCCGTGTCCGGCGAGTCCGTCCGGCTTGCTGTCACATCCCCACCTCCCCTCATTCTCGACGAACCTGGTGAGTACCGAGCTCTTCAGGATGAGTGGGTTGATACCTTCACTCCTGGAGGCCAGCATGTGGCGATCTGCACGTGCTCCCGGACGGGCCGCCACCTGGCCACGTTCACCCGTCGGCCTGGGTCGAGTCTGTACACACTGACTACTACGCCTCCTCAGGTTACTGCGTCAGGTCACGTAGCCCCCCCCTGTGAGTGTCGTCACCTGTCCCACCAGACTCTCCTTTGGCACCACCGCCTTGGTCACCCCTCCCTGCCACGCCTTCGTGGCATGCACTTCAGCCTCCTTGTCACTGGTCTTCCCAGGTCTCTTCCTTCCCTCCCACCCTCGCGTGCCCCACCCTGTGTTCCTTGCGTCGAGGGGCGGCAGCGCGCCACTCCTCACTCCTCCTCGTTTCCCCTGCAAACCCTCCACATGGACGTGTGGGGCCCAGCCCACGTCCAGGGACAGGGCCGCGAGCGGTACTTTCTGCTGGTTGTTGACGACTACTCGCGTTACACCACGGTCTTCCCCTTGCGCAGCAAGGATGAGGTCCCTGCTGTTTTGATCCCTTGGATCCGCGCTGTACGTCTCCAGCTCCGCGAGCGGTTCCGCACGGACCTTCCTGTCCTGCGTCTGCACTCTGATAGAGGTGGTGAGTTCTCCTCCGACCTCTTGCGGGACTTTTGTCAAGGGGAGGGCATCCTCCAGTCGTTCACGCTTCCGGCCTCTTCGCAGCAGAATGGGGTTGCTGAGCGCCGCATTGGCTTAGTCATGGAGGTTGCTCGTACCTCCATGATCCATGCGGCTGCTCCCCATTTTTTGTGGCCGTTTGTGGTCCGGTACGCTGCGCATCAGCTCAACCTCTGGCCCCGTGTCTCCTTGCCGGAGACCTCGCCCACACTACGTTGGACGGGGGAGGTTGGCGATGCGTCGCGATTCCGGGTCTGGGGCTCTCGTGCCTTTGTCCGCGATACCACCGCGGACAAGCTCTCCTCTCGCGCCATTCCCTGCGTCTTCCTTGGCTTTCCCCCTGACGCGCCTGGCTGGCAGTTTTACCACCCCACCTCACGCCGTGTCTTCCCCGCTCAGGATGTCAAGTTTGACAAGTCGGTTCCCTTTTACCGTCTCTTCCCCTACCGCACTGCCCCTCTCCCCCCCCCGCCGCTCTTCCTCGCTCCAGGTCCCCCTCCGGTAGACCCCCTCCCCCCTCAGGGTCCTGCTCCTTCAGGTGTGTCTCAGGTAGACCCACTTCCCTTGGCTGAGCCTGTCGAGGTCACTGGTGACTCAGGTGCTGCTGGGGGTGGTCCTGCTCAGGGTACTGCATCTGGGGGTGTGGAGCCTGAGGGTGCTGAGCTTGGGAGTACTTAGCCTGGGGGTGCTGCGTCTGGGGGTGCTGAGCCTGAGCGTGCGGAGCCTGGGGGTGCTGAGCCTGAGCGTGAGGAGCCTAGGGGTGCTGCGCCTGGGGGTGCTGCGCCTGGGGGTACTGAGGCGTCTGCTGGAGGTCCTCAGAGTGCCTCGCCGCAGCGGTCTGGCTAGCAAGAGCCTCTCTCACCTCAGCAGCTGCGTGAGTGGTTTGCTTGGCGCACACGTCTTCGGGGTCGCGCCGTTGGAGCTGGAGGTAGCGGAGCTGGAGGTACTGGAGCTGGAGGCGCTGGAGCTGGAGGCGCTGGCGCTGGAGGCGCTGGCCCTGGAGACACTGGAGGCGCTGGAAGCGCTGGCACTGCAGACACCCGAGCTGGTGGTGTTGGAGCTAGTGACGATGGAGCTGGAGACGCTGCAGCTGGAGGTACTGGAGTTGGAGGCGCTGGACATGGAGCTGCTGGAGCTGGAGGCGCTGGCGCTGGAGGCGCTGGAGCTGGAGGCGCTAGAGCTGGAGGCGCTGGAGCTAGAGGCACTGGAGCTGGAGGCGCTGGCGCTGGAGGCGCTGGAGCTGGAGGCCCTGGACCTGGAGATGCTTGAGCTGGAGGCACTGGAGCTGGAGGTCCTGGTGCTGGGGACCCTGTGCAGCAATGACCGTTTTTCTTGCCGCCGCTGCAGCTGTCCGAGCTCCCGCCCGACTCGGTGCTCCGACAGGTTCTTAGTCTTTCTTCATCCACTGCCCTTCCTCAGGACTCACCGCTACCTGCCTCGCCTCGTTACGCTTAGAAATCGGCCTCCCTTACAGAGCGTCGTGAGCCTGCGTCTGCTAGCCGTGCTCGTCGTGTCCCGCGTCCGCGTCCTCCTCCTGTGCCAGGCACTCACACTATGGCACTTCGTCCTTCCTCTGTCCCACAGCGCATCCCTCTACCGTCTCCTCCTGCGTCCTCTCTTCCTGACGTTCCGGACCCTGAGTCTGACTTGGTTCGTGCTGCTAGTCCCACTGTCACGCGTCTCCTCGCTACTGTCGTTACCGACCCATTGTTTGAGTCTACTGTTTAGTCTGCCTTAGTTGCTGAGCTTGTGGACTTTGCTGCTGCGTGTCGTCTAGACTACGCCACTAGTCTTGTTGCCGAGTCTGAGTCTGTCTGTCCTCCGTCCGTCAGGGGTGAGTGTGCTCTTGGCACGGACGTCCTTGAGGACAGGCAGGAGGACTTTGAGTGTCTTGCGGCTGCTGTACCTCATCTCATGGCCTGGCTGCTTGCACCTGAGGGAGACCCCTATGCACTAGACATCCCGACCCCGCGCTCTTACACAGAGGCGATTGAGGGTCCCTACTCCTCTCAGTGGCAGACAGCCATGGATGCAGAGATGGCATCATGGAAGTCCACAGGCACCTACGTCGATGAGGTTCCCCCTCCTGGGGCGAACATAGTCAATGGCATGTGGATTTTCAGGGTGAAGCGGCCGCCGGGTTCTCCACCTGTCTTCAAGGCTCGTTACGTTGCTCGAGGCTTCAGTCAGCGACAGGGAGTTGACTTCTTCCAGACCTTCTCCCCCAACCCGAAGATGACCACTCTTCGGGTGCTGCTGCACGTTGCCGCTCAGCGTGACTACGAGCTTCACTCTCTTGACTTCAGCACAACTTTCTTACAGGGCAGCCTGCACGAGGAGATTTGGCTGCGCCGCCCACCTGGCTTCACTGGGTCGTTTCCTGCTGGTACCCAATGAAACCTCCGGCGGCCAGTCTACGGTCTCCGCCAGGCGCCTCGTGAGTGGCACGACACAATGAGGACGACGCTCGCGGCTCTCGGGTTTGCTCCTTCGACTGCTGACTCGTCGCTGTTTCTGCGCAAAGACACCTCGCTGCCGCCGTTCTACATCCTCGTGTACGTCGACGAATTGGTCTTTGCCACTACTGACACTGAGGCACTCGCCCTTGTGAAGTCGGAGCTGCAGAAAAGACACACGTGCACAGACCTGGGTGAGCTGCGCAGCTACCTTGGCTTGCAGATCACCCAGGACAGAGCACGCCGCACCATCACCCTGACTCAGTCACACATGGTGCAGCAGGTCCTTCAGCGCTTCGGCTTCACTTGGTCCTCGCCACAGTCCACTCCTCTGGCTACCGGTCACTCACTCTCAGCTCCACCTTCGGACGAGTCCGTAGAACCGAGTGGCCCGTATCCAGAGCTAGTGGGCTGCCTCATGTACCTGATGACCTGCACTCGTCCTGACCTTGCGTACCCTCTTGGCCTTCTGGCACATTACATGGCTCCTGGTAGACACCGAAAGGTGCACTGGGATGCTGCAAAGAGGGTACTGCGCTACTTGTGCAGCACATCGGGCATGGGGCTGCTGCTTGGAGGACGCGGTGACGTTGTCCCCACTGGACACTCAGACGCCTCTTGGGTTGACGACCTGGCTACGCAGCGGTCGTCACAGGGTTACACGTTCAGCCTTGGTTCCGGCTCTGTTTCTTGGCGGTCTACCCGCTCGTCTTCTGTTCTCAGCTCTAGTTGTGAGGCTGAGATCTACGCTAGAGCCATGGCTGCACAGGAGTTACGCTGGCTCACCTACCTGTTGACTGACTTGGGAGAGCGGCCTAGTTCTCCTCCAATTCTGTACGTCGACAACAAGGCCGCTATTGCCTTGTGTAACGAGCACAGACTGAAGCTCAGAACGAAGCACATCGCTCTGCGTTACTTCCTTGCTCAAGAGTTGCAGCAGCGTGGTCAGCTTTGTCTAGCTTACGTGGCCACTCGGGCCAACACAGCTGATATCTTCACCAAGGCACTTCCGCCTGGTGATCATCAGCGTCTGTGTACTGCTTTAGGCCTTGTGCCTACGTTTGCTCACTTGCTCACTGCGTGACCTTGCTTGTACTGTGATCTATATATATACCTGCATGCTTTCACTTGCTAGGTTGTGATCACTGCACTTTTTGCCTTGTTTTATATAACTCTGGATGTGAACTGGCCTTTTGGCCCTTTGCTTGTGCTCAGAATGCGTGGTGACGTTGTGATCCACCCTGAGCTTGCCTTGTTTCTCTTGACTGGTCTTGTGACCGCCTGTTCTCCCCCAGTTTGCCTATGGGGGTGTGTCAAAATATATTGTGTAGGCTATAGTGGGGTACAACCCAATTAGGGTTAGGCATTTTTGTACCTCATTTCTACTCAATGCATTCATTCCTGCCTAGTTTCTCAATAAGTAATGTCTGTAGAAATGTTTGCCTTTTACCTTATTCTCTTGTATACAGGACCCTCCCGAAATAAGGACCCCCGGGACTTCTGTTCGGGTACTCGGACTCTTAATATGTGCCAAAAGTGAGAGGATCCCCCTTTTGCCTATAATCATTTTAAGACCCCCCTTTTCTGTATACAACAGTTGAAAAGGAATGCACGCGTCAGCTTTTAGCGGCACAAAATCCGAATTTTGACTCGTCATTTGTGTCAGAGTCGAACATAAGACCCCCCCCCCCCCCCCCCCTCCAAACTCAAGTGTACACCCCTAAATCACATAAATGTACTTGATTATTAAGTGTACCCGGGACTCTTACAACTCGTGCCAAGGAAATTTTCACCCTAGCCATTTTGCCTTTATTTTAGGAAAGTCCCCCGGGTCTTATATCCGGGAGAATACGGTACATGTAGTGTCTCAAAATTAGGTATTTGTGCTCTGAACTGCTGCTGGTACACTGTGCCGCGGCAAAATGGACTACCTGAATTCATGTACCCATCACCACCTCAGAACTCCATCCAGCTACAGCACCATCTGTCACCATGTCTGCCGCAACCAGTATTGTTAATTATGCTGCCTCACATCCTGGGATTGCTGGAAACTCCAGAAATGGATTGCTGTCAATTCAGTGTTAGAATCTACTCTATCTAAAACACAACCATACAAATGGTTCTAGGTTGGGTTTTCCCAACCCAACTAATTGCCACATAGGCTCCAAGCCTAGGAACCCTCCCACCATGGAAACCATGGTTTGGAGAGTTCCCCAAGGGGTGTATCGAAGGGGTTTGAGCTAGCAAGCTCATTCTTCACCTCCCACTCCAACTAATCAATCGAAAATGAGATTATTTTGCCCAAGTCATTGAGCTCTCTCACACATTTCCCTACACAACTCTTTCAAGTGTTTCTTATCAAAAACTTCAAGAAGACTCTCCTACAACAACCCAAAACCTTCTTAGAGACATAGATAGAGTTTACCTTTGTACTTGGGATCTATATAACCATTGTAAACTCTATTATAATGGGCTTGGCATTACACCTTCCGAGGCTTACTTCGCGTCTAGAAGCGCTGCGACCAGAAGTTTTGGCAAAAGAGCGACCGACGAGGTGGATGACCTCGAGGTGTATGGCTTTGGACAGCTTTGATGTGACGAGAGACATTGGAGATCTTCTGAGGCTTACTGCGCGCGTGCGGCTTAATGCACATGTGCGGCTTAATGCGCGTGTGCGGCTTAATGCGCGTGTGCGGCTTACTGCGCGTGCGCTCTAAATCATCATCCCCCCCTCTTTCCTCTCCCTTCTCCGCCACGTATTGTTAACGCATCATGCAACGGGACACGTGGCGGCGGAGTCGCTGAGCGACGTCGAAATGGAATCGCTCTCTCTCGCGGAATTCCTCTGCGTTGTTTCTAGGTCCCCCCTACCCTGCCGCCGAGCGACTTCCGCATTTTGCCATGTCAGCTTGGTAGATCAAGTCGCGGATCGCGCCATCTTACAAAGCGCCCTTGGGGTTAGCTCACCAGAAGTCGCTGTGGGACATCGCTTGCAAACCAGATTCTGAAATTTATGCTTGTGCTACTCACAACGGCGACCTCTCAGAGTATCGGATCAGACTCAAAACGGGTTTCATATTTCTTTCAATTTCGTTGAAGGGGGGTGGGAAAAGGCTACTGGTCAACATTTTTTGCAAGAGGTTGACTGGAATTTCAAGTGTTTTGTCGTAATAGTAGGTATACTGAGGAGCCATAGCTAGGGTTGACCTAGCTAGGCATGAGAGAATGAAGGCAAAAGAGAGGACTGAACTAGCAAGAATGGGGATACAAATAGCAAACCCTAGAAGGGTTGTACTCGCTACAGAGCACCCCACTACAGGCTAGAGCATAATATTCTGACACACCCCCATAGCCAAAGTGGGGTGTAATCAGCAGAGGAAACAAAGCAGTACAAGCTCAGGGTGGATCACGATGTCACCACTCATTCTGAGCACAAGCAAGAAGCAATAGTTTAAGGTTCACAATTATGAGCAAAGCTAGAGGCAGTCACAAGGGGTCAAGTGAGGAGGAGGAGGCGAGACTGTAGGTGGAGAGGAGATAAGAGGCGTCGGCTGAAGCTGCAGACACACGGGCAACAGGAGTCAAACTGGCTCAGTGGCTACCGGAACAAGCGCCCCGGACTACAGGAGTAACTGGCTCCGCGGCTAAGAAGAGCGGCAGACGAGCAACGGACCCACGGGCGACTGGCGCAGCTGGCTACGACTGGGCTACCGGAACAAGCGCCCCGGACTACAGGTGCTGCTGACGACAAGACGGCAGCCTCCGCTCAACCTCCTCCAACTGTCCCACACCCCTCGACACACACCCCCTGCTTCAAACCCTAGCTCCACTCCGACGGTACCCCCCTTAGACCCCAAACCCTAGGCTCCCACACACCACCCCCCTCAGCGGCAGCTGTAGCAGAGGGAGACGAGGGAGGAGGAGGAGCAGGGAACGGCACACTGAAGCTGCACCCCCATACCCCCCACCCCAAACCCTAATCCAGGAGAACGGGCAGAAGGAGGGGTGGGGCGCCTTCAGAAGCACGGGGGACAGCGGGGAGGACAGGGGAAGCGAAGAACGGGCCGCCCACGGGCCTGGCACCGCCTCCCGAACCGCGCGCAGGCGGTCCGAGCCGCGCGCGGGCCTGGCGCAGCCCGTACGGGCCGCGCGCGTGCCTGGCGCAGCCCGTACGGGCCGCGCGCGGGCCTGGCGCAGCCCGTACGGGCCGCGCGCGGGCCTGGCGCAGCCCGTACGGGCCGCGTGCCGGGTGTACGGGCCGCGTGCAGGCCACGACGGGCGACGGGGGGCGACGCGCGGGTCCCCGTCGCCCGTCGCAGCGCCTCCCGGGGGCGACGTGCCGAGTGACGGGGCAGGAACCCGTCGCGCGCCTCGGGGCACACGGCGGGCAGAGAACCGCCGCGCGCCTCGGGGCGCACGGCGGGCAGAAAACCGCCGCGCGCCTCGGGGCGCACGGCGGGCTGAAAACCCTAGTTTCGACGCCGCGCACCACGGGGCGCGCGGCGGACAGGGAGTAGCAGTAGCAGCGGAAGCAGTGAAGTGGGCCCACAGGCCAGGAACGTTAAGCTCTAATACCATGTCAAAATAGTAAGCATAAACAGGAGCCATAGCTAGGAGAACCCTAGCTAGGCAAGAGAAAGTTTAGGCAAAGAGCTCATTGGCCCAGTGCTTACAGTTTGAGTCATCGCGCCACGCAGGAAAATTGCCCAGCTTTGGCGACGCGATGAGGGTACAAAAATCCACGCGGCATTCTGAAACTCATTCATTCAATTCTTCACTTCGATTCAAGTTACGACCCAGAGCGTACTGATTCTGAAGCTGCTTGTGTTCACTTCCAAGCTCCTTGGCAGCAAAATTGCTCCTGAACAGCTATATTTCTTTCTCCGTGGGAAAATTGGCTGCATCCTAGGCAGTAGTACATAAGCACAATGGCGCAGAGAGTCTCATTTTCATCGAGCCAGCGTCGTCGCCGTGACCTCAGCACGGCCTTTCTCCTCCTCTCGCTCGTCCTGCTCTCGTCTCTCCATGCGGCGATGGCCTTCCGCTTCTCCGCGGGGCTCCGCGCGGACAAGCTGCGCGGGATGATGCGCGGATGGGCGCAAGGCGGACGCTCGACCGGCCAGCAGCAACAACAGGGCGGTGGCACTAGCGGAGGCAGAATGGGCGACAGCAGAATGGGCGGCGGCGGAATGGGCGGCGGCGGGATCAGCGGCGACATAATGGGCGGCGGCGGAATGGGTGGCGGCGGAATTGATGGCGGAGGAATGGGCAGCGGAGGAATGGGCGGCGGCGGAATGGGCGGAGGAGGGATGGGCGGCGGCGGAATGGGCGGTGGCGGAATGGGTGGTCGGGGAATGGGCGGAGGCAGAATGGGCGGCGGCAGCATGGGAGGCGGCGGAATGGGCGGAGGCGACATGGGTGGCGGCGGAATGGGCGGCGGCGGAATGGGCGGAGGCGGGATGGGCGGCGGCGGAATGGGCGGTGGCGGAATGGGTGGCGGCGGAATGGGCGGAGGCGGAATGGGCGGCGGAAGCATGGGAGGCGGCGGAATGGGCGGAGGCGGCATGGGTGGCGGCGGAATGGGCGGCGGTAGCATGAGTGGCGGCGGAATGGGCGGCGGTGGAATGGGCGGGGGCGGAGTGGGCGCAGGGAGCATGGGCGGCGGTGGAATGGGCGGCGGCGGAGTGGGCGCAGGGAGCATGGGCGGCGGTGGAATGGGCGGCGGCGGAGTGGGCGCAGGGAGCATGGGCGGCGGTGGAATGGGCGGCGGCGGAGTTGGAGGGGGTATGGGCGGACCTGGTTCCTCTGCTCCCGGATCGCAAGCCATGGGTCCTGGGGGGAACATAGGTGGCGGCTGAATGGGCGGCGGCGGCATGGGCGGCGGAATGGGCGGTGGAATGGGTGGCGGCGATGGCATGGGCGGCAGTGGCGGCATGGGTGGCGGCGGAATGGGCGGCGGAGGAATGGGAGGCATGGGCGGACCTGGTTACTCTGCTCCTGGTTCGCAACCAGCCATGGGCCCTGGGGAGAACATGGGCGGAGGCATGGGCCGCGGGGGAGGAATGGGCGGCGGCGGTATGGGTGGCGGAGGCATGGGCGGCGGAGGCATGGGCGGCGGAGGCATGGGCAGCGGAGGCATGGGCGGGTCAGGGTGGGTAGCTCCAGGGTCGCAGGCAGCACCTGGCCAGGGTGGACCTGGGATGGGCGGAGGGATGGGTGGGCCTGGGGGGGGCAACATAGGAGGTGGTATGGGCGGACCAGAGTCGTATTCTCCTTGATGCGAGACTGGCATCATGGGTCATGGGAGGCATCATCGTGAAATTCCGAGTGAGCACAAATGTGACACTGTAGCTTTTCTTGCGGGAAAGCTTCGAAAAAGCTTCGGGAAATCTTCGGCGCGCACATTTGGACCCGAGTGGCCAAAGTGACTTTGCAGCAACAAATCTCAAGTGTCTCCTACGCAACTGTGCCGTACCAAATCGCGGAGTATTAGTTACCCACTAATATTACGGTCCAGGCCATATCCCACAGCATTTCTCAATGTAGGGGCTATTAATGTATATTCTTAATCACAAATACTGTGAAGTTCTGGCGCACCAGGCAGAGCTCCAACATCCATCAATCGATCAGAGCAAACCTATTGAGTTGCACACGTGGACAATACGCTCAATCGATGCAACTTCAATTATCCCGTGCGTGGCCTCCCTCCGCCCAGGCACCAGCTGGGGGCAAAGTGTCTGTGGACACACCCTCCTCCTCGTAATACTTCACGAAAACGTATGCACCCTCCTCCAAGCTGTCATTCACCGCCCTGAAAATACAGAGGCACCGCGCATACCACCACACCTCATCCTCCTCCTCCTCCGTCTCTCCCGGGATTGCAATGTCCGTGAACCAGTTCTCCTTTGGGCTTGCTTTCACGAACATCGCCTTCGACACCAAGTACCCCCCTTTTGTGCTAGGGATGGCCACTGCGGTGTGCACCTGCCGTGTATGGGTGGTTTTGTACGAGGATTATTACATTGTGAAAACGACACCCTTTCCCATGCGTCTCCCACTCACAACGCACGACCATGCTTTACAACTAATCCAAACGCACAACTTCACATCAAACCACGGTATCTCACCAATATACGAGCAGTCTGCAGGCCTTCCGCTGCCATTAGTGTCGCCATTGTTAGAAACAATAGGAGTGGGGCCTAGGACTAGGGTTTGTGGTATACGAAGGAGAATTGGAGAAGTGAGAATGGGAATGATGGTTGAACTAGCAAGCAGCAGGATACATATAGGAAACCCTAAGGGGTTGTACTCACTATTGAGCACCCCACTGCAGGCTAGACAAATAACATAATCTGACACACCCCCATAGCCAAAGTGGGGTGTAATCAGCACACGTGAGAAGTCACAGCAATAGTTCACAATTATCAGCAAAGCTAGTGGCAGTCACAGGAGGCCAGTGAGGAGGAGGAGGAACTGTGGAGGGAGAGAAGAGAGGAGGCGACTACTGAAGTTGCAGACACACGGGCACCAGGAGCACCAGGCTGCAACCTCCTCCAACTGTCTCACTCCCCCCTACACACACCCCCAGGGTCACCACTCGCTCCACGCCCACATCACCCCCCTAGCGCCACTCCCTCGTCTCCCACACATCCACCCCCCCGCAGCGGCAGCTGCAGCAGTGGGAGACGGAGGAGAAGGAAGGGGCGACGCACAAGGAGCACCCCCACACCCGCCACCCCCACACCCTCCTGTCCAGGGGACCCAGGGGGGGGGGGGGGGGGGGGGGGGGGGGGGGGGGGGGGCGGGAGAGCGCACGAGGGCGCAGGCAACCGCGCGTGCAGAGCAACAGCGCGGAGCAGGGAGGGTAGAGCGCACGAGGGCGCGGGCAACCGCGCGTGCAGAGCAACAGCGCGGAGCAGGTAGGGTAGAGCGCACGAGGGCGCGGGCAACCGCGCGTGCAGAGCAACAGCGCGGAGCAGGTAGGGTAGAGCGCACGAGGGCGCGGGCAACCGCGCGTGCAGAGCAACAGCGCGGAGCAGGTAGGGTAGAGCGCACGAGGGCGCGGGCAACCGCGCGTGCAGAGCAACAGCGCGGAGCAGGTAGGGTAGAGCGCACGAGGGCGCGGGCAACCGCGCGTGCAGAGCAACAGCGCGGAGCAGGTAGGGTAGAGCGCACGAGGGCGCGGGCAACCGCGCGTGCAGAGCAACAGCGCGGAGCAGGTAGGGTAGAGCGCACGAGGGCGCGGGCAACCGCGCGTGCAGAGCAACAGCGCGGAGCAGGTAGGGTAGAGCGCACGAGGGCGCGGGCAACCGCGCGTGCAGAGCAACAGCGCGGAGCAGGTAGGGTAGGGCGCACAAGGGCGCGGGTGAGACTGAGCGCGACTGCACAGGGTCCAGGAGCGGCGTCGCGGGCAGCTGCTGCAGAGGTCCAGAGGCGGCTGCTCCAGGGGCCAGGGGCGGCTGCTGCAGTGGCGGGTGGCTCCAGGGGCGGCTGCTGCAGTGGCGGGCGACTCCAGGGGCGGCTGCTGCAGGGGCGGCTGCTCCAGGGGCGGCTGCTGCTGTGGCGGGCGACTCCAGGGGCGGCTGCTGCAGTGGCGGGCGGCTCCAGGGGCGGCTGCTGCAGTGGCGGGCGACTCCAGGGGCGGCTGCTGCAGTGGCGGGCGGCTCCAGGGGCGGCTGCTGCAGGGGCGGCTGCTCCAGGGGCGGCTGCTGCTGTGGCGGGCGACTCCAGGGGCGGCTGCTGCAGTGGCGGGCGACTCCAGGGGCGGCTGCTGCAGTGGCGGGCGGCTCCAGGGGCGGCTGCTGCAGGGGCGGCTGCTCCAGGGGCGGCTGCTGCTGTGGCGGGCGACTCCAGGGGCGGCTGCTGCAGTGGCGGGCGGCTCCAGTGAGGCGCGGGCTGGCCTGGCGCAGTCCGTACGGGCCGCGCGCGGGCCTGGCGCAGCCCGTACGGGCCGCGCGCGGGCCCGACGTAGGTCGCGGGGGCCACGACGGGCGACGGGGGGCGACGCGCGGGTCCCCGTCGCCCGTCGCAGCGCCTCCCGGGGGCGACGCGCGGAGTGACGGGGCAGAAAGCCGCCGCGCGCCTCGGGGCGCACGGCGGGCAGAAAACCGCCGCGCGCCTCGGGGCGCACGGCGGGCTGAAAACCCTAGTTTCGACGCCGCGCACCACGGGGCGCGCGGCGGACAGGGAGTAGCAGTAGCAGCGGAAGCAGTGAAGTGGGCCCACAGGCCAGGAACGTTAAGCTCTGATACCATGTTAGAAACAATAGGAGTGGGGCCTAGGCTTAGTAGCCTAGGCCCACACTAGGAGGTAGTAGGTTGTGCCCTAGGACTAGGGTTTGTGGTATACGAAGGAGAATTGGAGAAGTGAGAATGGGAATGATGGTTGAACTAGCAAGCACAAGGATACATATAGGAAACCCTAAGGGGTTGTACTCACTATTGAGCACCCCACTGCAGGCTAGACAAATAACATAATCTGACAGCCATGTTGTCGAACTCGCTCCCCACCGTCTCCCTGTACAGCGTGCGCATTGGATCGTCCTCCGTCATGAGACACATGGCCTTGCTGGTGCGGGTCAGCGCGGGCTTCATATTGCGCACAGCCTGTGTGGGGGATTGCAAGCACGCATAGCACGAAATGGTGGCATGATTAGTACCAAACAAGACGCACACCTGCGAGTCTTTTAGACGCGCCTCCTACGCTTCATATCGACGCGTGTTGTACCTCTCGCAATGCGGTGTAGTATGTTCTCCCACCACCCGACAGCGCCGCAATCTCCCTTATGATCTCGCGTTGTGTCTCCTCCTCCACAATCCTCCTTGGTATGTTTTTCCAGTTGCTTCCGCGCACGGGGCCTTTCACTGTGCCCTTGTGGGTATGCTCCCACAGCTCCGTCGAATACTCATGCGGCAAACCCCTCATGGATATGCCGTCGATGAGGTGCACGACTTCGTGGAGCTTCACAAAGTTCCACCTCGACTTCTGCTTCGGGAAAGCCGCGTGCAGTGCAGCAACCAGCCTATACGTACGTGGAGACACATTGTCATGCGCGCATTCTTCCAGCATGACATATGGGAAACAAGGCCATGTATACAATACATACGACATCCAACAATTATACTCACGAGATGCCATGTTGCCTTGCGATGGAGAGGGTCAGCCGCGTGTGCTTGGTCACGGCCAGCAGGGACTTGTAGAAGACCGCATAGTAGCGGAAGGCACGAACCTCTTTATCCCTCTGGTCCCGTTCCTCCGCAGAGCGCCCCACACACAGGTCTGAAATGATAATCGGGAAAACCTGCATCATGCCACGATACTCGAAAGCTGCGTAATTTGCCCCGCTGCGGAAAAAGGTGGAGCCACCCGGGATGCGCACCAGGACACTCCTTGTGTCGCCCTTCACCCCAAACTTGCGGCTGTTACAGACACCAAGCACCCATAGGCAACGCAATGCAACTGTGTCCGTAGTTAGATCCGCCACGGGCGTAGTGGAGCACACAAAACAACGCACGGTAGCTCTGAGTACTCACTGATCAAACCCTCGTATCTCGGCCTTCGTCTTCCCCTCCATGAAACATGTGGCCAAATGAACCAGCACCCCGGAATCCAGCACATGCAATATGTCGCCAACAACCGCCAGGAAGACGTTACCCCACTTCGTCTCAGAGAAGTTCAAGCGCTCCAAAACGCTCTGCACATTTGAGAGTGATGTCTGAATGGTCGTAACGCGCAACAAGGTGCCTCAACGATCATGTGCCTTCAAGAAGCCTCAACAATCATGTGACTTGCCATACATGTACACCTCGCGCGCACCGTTATCGGATGCGTAGACCACCTGGCCTGGACCGCTGCAGCTTCTTCCACCGTCTTTGCGCTCAGTATCTTCGCCGCCGCGTGCCGCTCTCTCTTTCACAGTGCGCACTATGTACTTGTTTGACAGGTCATGGAGGTGCGCCCTCTTGATGTAGCAGCTCGAGCACGGTCTGTGCAAAGCCTGCTGCATCGTTGCTGTGGCCCGGCACCCTTCCGGATAGTCGCCAACAAATGCATATAGGCATGGATATGCCTTCACCACACCTTCGCGCCCGTCTGACACATCGAAGGATCGAAGAGGACCACTGCAAGCACAATGTAAAAGTTCGATGGCATTAAGACGCCGCCCAATGAACCGCTTAGCCGCCAACGACCTACATCATGCATTCAAAACACTTACTCGCGGCTCTCTCGCATCAACGGACCCATCACGATGTGATACGCCTCCTGATACACCCGAGTCTTCTCCGTCGCCGATGCCCACTCTGGCGGAAAAGGGAGCACACCCACTAGAGCGTGCCCTGGCTCACGCCATCTTAACTCCTCCGGGACATTGACCAAACCCATCAGCATTGGCCATGCCTGTAGGCGTCCGTTCCCCGACGCGTATGTGCTGTCGCTGTACGAGATGACACCCATCACCATTGAATCCTCCTCCGGCAGTTCCGCCTGGCAACGACACAACGTGACCCAGTAAGTCATACCAAATCACAACGTCGCCCCTTGTGACGATTGGGAACAAGTGCATCTACTTGCCTGCGCATCTTCCAGCCAAGTCCCTGTGTCGGGCGTACTGAAATGTCTCGTCTCCGTTGTATCCTCAGGATCTCGCCGCGGCCTTTTGACAAATCCCCGTACATTCACAAGTGTCTTCACTATTTTCTGTGCAATCTGTCCACACAGATACGGCCACACCCTTTTTGGAGTCAGTGCATAATTAGACAGAGGCCCGTCGGCTCGTTACTGCACCCATCATCAATCGCTCACCAGCTTGGTGTCCTTGTACAGCAGTTCCAGCATCTGAGACCTTCCTCCGGGGCCCCGCACCTCAATCTCTGCCTTGAGCCACGGCACCATGTCGTGTGGCGCGTGTGACTCCCCATACCGCCTCACGTCCGCGACGTTCTGCCAGCGACGAACCGCTGCAGGATCGTACCCTGGGTGGTTGAATATGTGCAATAGTCTATTTATTTCTCTGTCCGATAAATCAGCGTCCTTGAAGAACAAATACAGCTCGTTCAGAGTATTGAACAGCTCGCCAACTGTGGAAACCGATCCATCGTCCGACGACGACACATACCCCCGCACAAAGTCCGCGCGCTCAGAGGACTCCCTCAGATATCGGAACAGACTCACTGTCCAAATGATGTGGGCTATTTCTCTACGCGGCCAAAGCCTCCGCCAACGCCTCCACCGCCCTACTCTCTAACCTCTCGAGCAGCGTGTCCCTGCACGTGTCATTTTGATACAGATGGATCCTCAGCAGGTTGTCTGAGTCCAGTTCTTGCCCACATGCCCTGCACCTGTTCCCTGCCATGCGTCCTAATCTACGCACACACCCCTACCCAAGGACCGTACACCGACTTCACCTCTAGTCCCCCCTTGCCTACCGATCCGTCATGCATGTTCTACACTATACGCAGGACCACCATTGCGTTCTTTGAGCCACTCACGACCTGCATCCAGCCATCGAAACCGCTTTCTCAACATCTCGCCCAACGCCGAGCTTCCTACTAGTCCGCTTACAATTAATGCATCTGAGGATCATCTGTTTACATTCTACGTCACCCCACTATCACCGGGTTCATAATGGCGGGTCGAAGCCATCGTGCATGCACGATGGGCGGAGAGTCTGTGCGGTCGGCCTTATCATTAACGAGAAACCCTAACCTGCACAAATGTCAGCGGTAAGAAATCGCCTCGTGAAGTATCAACCTATCGGTGTCAAGATATGTGATTACACCAATCGGGGTGTATACTCGATACGGCAAAGCAAGGTGCACCAATTATAACACGTCCAGTGTATTTGGTGCTCAATCTCGCTACATCATTACACATACAGGCCAATTACTACAACAAATGTCAACGCATCCTCAGCACCGCCCTCGTCTCCTCCCACCACTTCATGCACATAGTGTCGCAAGATCATAATACTAATCTAACACAAATCCGGGTACTCCGGAACTCCAGACATTCCGGGTACGGCAGTCTTCGCCATATTGCCATACGGCCGTTATCGTATCAGTAATAGCTACTACGGTGTCCATGCTTACTACGACGTGACCGCATGAGACGATCAAGAACATTTAACATAAGCAACGCTCCATCGACATTGGTGGTCCTGGTAGCATCTGCCAAAATGACCCAACGACAACTCGTGAGGCAATGTGAAGCATCAATGACGGCAAATAACAAGACGTCCCCTACCTTCGGAGTCAGTGACGTGCGTACGCCTGCGCCTCACGCGGCGCCGCCCATCCTCGTGGGTACTTTCCTCCGGGCGTCCTAAGAGACATGTACACAACGCGGCGCAGCGCGAGGTAAAAAACGTATGGCAGGGTTCCCAAACTTGGCAGCACGCTGTCAAGCAATTTGAGTTGTTTGTTACGCACCTGTGTGTGACTGGACGTGCATCGTAGGAGTTGCGGCGCTAGACCCGCAATCGCCTGGGGCCTCTACGCTGAGCTCGAGCTAGCGTTGTTTGGAGGGTCGGACCCTCCCGTCTCAACGGGCGCATCATTCGCGTCACCTCTGTTGCCCCCAAAGGAAAAGTTGAAGAGATCATTCGCGCGGGTGGAACATCCGCGTGCACCGGCCGGTGAATCTCCGCGCTCCGCACCCGCGGCCATTTCCTCAACCTGCAGCGTCTCCGGGCTATGTGGTGCAGAGTGTGCCGCATTTACATTCCCCTCCGCTGATATCTTTGTATTTCCGTCCGTCTCTGGTCCCGTACCTGGCTGCTTAGGTCCCAGGACTCCCTCCTCCGTTTGGTCATCAGAGGAGGCTACCATCGGCTGTCGGCCAGCACCCGAGTGTGGCTCGGGTGTTACAGTCACAATGACGGTTTTGTCTCGACTGGTATCCGCAACCGCACTTATATCACCACAGCTGGCGGAGCCTGCACATGCGCGCCATCGCGATCAAATGAATCCCTGAGAAGCTTGTGGATATGACGCCCCGCTTCCTCAGTGTCGTTGCTGCTAGGGGAAGACATACAGGGCACTATATTAGGGTTTGACGGAATATCCACACAGTTAAACATGACTCACTGTATATGCCTCCCAACCACCGAGGCCACGTCGGAAGCCATATCCGTCCGCGATAATGCAGGGGCAAATCTCGCTGTTTGCCCATGTACACCCGTTTAGAATAGGGAGATTGTAGTACAACGTGTGAAAAAACGTTCCCCAGTTTGAAATTTCCAAAAACATGATCTAAAAACGGAGCACATCCTACAGCAAAACTCCACCTTATATTGGCATATATTCAAAAGTATCTGACACACTTTAAACCCGCTCGATAGCAACCCAATCCCACACGCCGGTAAGTACATTGCGCCGCTCTACCGCTTAAAGGTGGACTTCACGAGGCGAATAGAGGCATAATCTATATGCTTGGATGAGGTGCCCTTCATAAACCCCGCCTGGGTGGGCTTCGTTGGTACCTTGGACCACCACAGGAGCGTCCCGAGCGCTCGACTGAGATCCCCAATACGCACTCCTTCTTCCATTTCCTTCTACTCTGTGAGCCCGTTCACCTGCAAGATGCTTCATCAAGGTTTAGCTGGGGACAGGCTTGCACCACAGCACCAGTGCACGAGTGCGCATGCGGAATGGCAACGCTCTCTAACGCTTACATTGGAAGAGGTGCCACCTCCTGTGTATATGTCTCGTGGGTAAGGTGCCGAAATTCTAGACCCATCGGACCGACGTCTCTCAGCCTGCACACCAGAAGAACATGCCACACAAGTCATTGGCCATATGGAAAAGTAACACGTCGGCCCACCAACGAACCTCACCTAATAACCCATCGCCCTCGCCTCTGCCATTATAACGGCTCTGTAGTCAAACGACGGTAACCCCGGCAGTATGACATCCTTGAGGCTTGTTGCGCGGTGGTTTACGACCCTGTAATCAGCTATTGACGTCATGAACCGCCGACCTTTGGCACGTGTGATGCTCGACTCCGACTCGTCCGGATACGTGGCGTAAACGAGCCTCAGGTAAATGAACGGTGTGGCCGCGTCGGGAGGTATGGCAAGAGACGCACGGGCTTCTATGATCGCCCGCGCACGGTGCTGTCTAGGACTGCGCCATCCACTACCGAGGAAGGGGTCCAGCGAACTCAGAACGGTGGCTGCGCTAAGGCTCTCACCTCGTTAAGTAAGTATGGCACCATGCACCTGCATTATGGCATAGGCTATCGTGGGCTTTGACCGTATGAAATAGCTCCATGTGTTGCGCCGTCGAGGCTCCAGCACGTCGCGCGATTTTGAACGCGTTACGCTCATCTTCCCAATACCAACTGAACTCTGTACTGGCTCCTAATGCGCTAGGGTTTGAGGCGAGCAGTAGGTTAGCGCGGGCGTCAGTCTTACGGGAATCGGGTAACGCAATGCTGGTACGGTACGAAGCGGTGTGGTATGGTTTTTTTGTGAACTGGCACACAACATGGTCATCTTGTTGGACCGAACACTAACCTTAGGTATAAATCATGCATTTAAATAACTGTGCCATAACGGGGAGAGCCTGGACATCCCTTCATTCCCAATGTAAGCAAACCCGAGACGTACTGGAGACAAATGCCGATTTGCTGATTACATAACAAGCGTAATTGGTAATAATAACAATATTATCATCAGATGTCACAACAGCCCATATTCAATATCCTCCCGAACGCTACACAATGATGTCGAAGGGGACTGGAAGCATATCTCCTCGCTGGCCGTTGGAGACATGGACGGCGAAGGCGCGTAGGACTGCATCCGCACCTTCTTCTTTGGTGTGCGCACCAGGCGGTCCACAAGATCCGAGTTCCCCGGGCGCTTAAGCGTGATAATGTCACGCGGAGCAACTCCCTTCGCGCTGGCAAGCCTTGTGTACGCAGAGGATGCCATACGCAGGAACCTGCGGCGAGTCTTGTCGTCCCACGATACGCGGCCGTCACTGCTTGAATCATCCACGAGGCGGATGACCGGCTCTGGCATGCATCCGGTCGTAACCTCGTCCATCTCGTCATCCCAAGTCGCATAGTCCATTGCTTCCATCACGCAGTCAGGGATGTCCAACTTGTCCAGCTTCCTCTGCAGGCCCATGAGGCTGGCAACAAGTTGCTCCACAACCTCGACATGCATGTCGCTGTTGATCGCGTGAAGCTGAGACATCCACTCGTCCGGGACGCACCCAGTGCGCCAGAACGTTAGCTGAATGTGGGATGTCGCCACCCCCCAAAGCGCTTCGTACGTCCACTGCAATGTCTTCGCGGCCGAAGGAGAGTTACCCCTCCACACCCATGCTGGTGGCACGCGCGTCATGAAGCGCGTCTGGTGGTCCACCCACATTGAACGGAATTCAGCCTTAAAGAACGCGACAATGCCCTCCACCACTGGGTTCCCCACGTCCGGAACAGTATCATGAAGCTGCAAAATGCGAGTATGGGTTAGGTGGTGCACCACGAACGGCCCATTCGTATGCACTTTGCCCTCCCCCCAAGTGAGCCTGTGCCTATGCGAGGACACAAGGGCGACAATCTCGCAGCGTTGAGGCCAAGCATGAACTGTGTGAACAGCTGCACATGACAATAACGGTTATCGCAAAGACATTTATTAGGCACCAACGACATGAGTCCATATGTCGGAGACATAAATTTTTGTCATATAGATGGACATTACCTCTGGGGTTATGCGGCCGGACCGAGTACGGCGGATGTACGCCCACTCGTCTCCATTCACGTCGGAGCCCAGCCGCATTGGCTCCCGATCGCGGCTCACAACGATGGACCTGAAGCGTTGTGCGCCGTCGGCGGAATAGAGAAGGCCGATAGACAGCCGCTTCAGCTCTACTACATTGGGGCTTCGAACGAATGCAGGTATGGCTGCAGCGCAGGGCAGAGAGTAACTTCTACAAAGATATAGACGTTACTGGGAGATGTGCCAAGCCGCGTAAATAGATCCTTTAAAGCCGCCATGGAAGTGAAATGGCGTCCGAGACACAGAGCGGCATATGATATACCCGTTAGAGCGGGCGGAAACACCGTCCAATGTCGCTGCATCGTTGACAAGACGTGAGTCGAGCTTCTGTAAGCATCAGCGCCAGCGCACCACAAGTTATTTTGACCTGCTTAGCGTAGATTGGCCACAGAAGCACAGGATTGCGCAATGACGTGGGTACATCTCATAGGACATACGATTTGTGCGCGGTAGTAACCACATGTTCTTGCCCAGAAAGCTCATCTGAGACTGACTTCTCCGTCCACCGTATATGCATCCTCGCTACTGTACGCATTTATGTGTATGTCGGTAGACGAGGGTACTTGCTGTAAACTTCCAACAATCTCTATACTAATACTACATAATTTGCATGCACATCAATCTACATCATGTTATTTGGATGCAGTAAACTGTACAGGCACTGTTGGTATTCAACGAGTTGTATAAACGCGAGTCGTGACGATAACGTCAACAATACAGTGACCGTAAATGGACATAGTGTTATTCGTAACAAAATCGATATTCGCATCTCAATGTATCTCTAACGGGACATATGTCGGCCCGTTAAGAGCTGCACAGTTGAGAAACACAACCTTTCGGATGGTCGCAGGTTTGCATGCTGACGAGGGTACAGCATCCTCGGCTTGTAACAGGCACGTGACAAGTGTCATTTTCACCAGCAATCAGCTGCCAGTCGCGAACCGCCATGGTGGTATCCACATTCTAGAAACGCGACCCGTTTTTGGGTCAACATCAACTGAGCGAGATCCAATATTTGTTACCCTTGGTGACTAGTTGAGCCTACAAGAGGTTCTGTCGCCCGATAGCCCGACGGCTAATTTCTTGCCAGACTAGGGTTTCGGCCTTTCCCACCAACTCTGACTATCCATGGTTCCGCGAACCAAAGCGCCGGCCGCTAAACGCGGTCTCCTTAGGACCGAAGCCATGCCAACGCGTAGGCAATCGGCAGGAGCGCGGCGGGATAACACAACGATCCCGGAATCGCTGAGCAACAAGCGGATGCGCTCGCGTGAAGTCCAGCAGGGGAAAACGATTAAGGAGAACGCATCTGAGGCTGCTGTTTCAGCATGGGGCTCGCGGCTTCCCGGCGCCAAGGAAGAGCTTGCGCCGAATGACGCGCTGACAGCTCTATTGACAGCACCATCCTCTTCGAAGTTCAAGACGGTGTCGCTGTATAACCACATGGGCGTGGGCTGTCAAGTGAATGCGCATGACGCCGTGTCGCTCGCCGACAAGCAATGCCTGAACGACGCGGTCATCGACTTCCACAACATGTGCGTGGTCGACGGCAGTACTCCTACAGCCTTGAACGCCACCGGGATGGTATTCCGATTTTAACGTTTATTAATCCGTTGTGCGTTGTCCCGCCGCACCCTTGCAGCCTCCTGAACATCAGGTACCCGGCATGCCCGAACGGGAAATCCTGGGTGGTCCTGGACAGCAAGGCGTATGCGTATGCCCAGATGCACGGCAAGCCGATCGGGAGATGCACGGGCCCATCCGTGTTCGAGTACGACTACATCGCTGTCCCAATCTTTGCCGGGTACGTACGTCTTTCCCCCGGCAGTCTAATACGCCCATATGCAGCCCCCGCCTAACAATGAATCGTGGATCGTGCAGGAAGCACTATTCTTTGATGGTGGTAACCAACCCGAGCGGGATAGTAGCCCAGACTGCGGCTCCGGTGGAATTCATTCTATTCGACAGTGAGGGCCTCCATACCAAGACGACAGATGCCTTCGACGGGACTAAGGCGTGAGTTTCGTTAAAGAGCAGTGTGCGACACGTTCATTCGAACTCTTCTTGCGGCCGCATATGACTGGGTGGATGTGTGGTCGTGCAGGTTACTGCACCTCATGTGCACACGCGATCATCCGGAGGTGGACCCAGAGGCGGCTAGGCAGCGCCTTATCAATGCCACGACGGTGACTATGGAGGGTTGGCTCAAAGTGCTCCCAATTGTTGCTATTACAGTAGCTGATTCTGATGACTTCCATCTTCGTGACTGAATTGTGCGCAGGGTCACCAGATCCCCAAACAACCAAACAGCTGGGACTGCGGGTTGTACATGTGCCAGTATCTCGAAGCGCTGGTTGCATCTGGGTTTGTTACCGTGCGTGAGTACATATCGTTTAAGGGAGTGAGCGCGAAGATGTACCGCCGTAACATGCGTGCAGACCTTTGTTCCCATGCAGAGGGAACGCTGATACCCGAGCTGCAGCGCCAGGGTCTCCGCATCCCTATGCAGCCCGTTCCCATTATCGACGACGACGGGTACATGTGCGTCGACCCACCCGTGGACATTCGAAAAGAGCTACTCGACCACAAACAGAAGTTCGCAGTGCTGGAGCACGACATACAGGTTCTTACAGCCAAGATCGAGTTTCTGGCCATCAGCAAAGGCGTGACGTCGGACGAGCTGGACGCGGGAGCGCGCCAACACCTCGGAGCCGTGGCCGAGACGGTGGTGCCGACGGCGACTCCACGGCAGCAGGCCGCGAGGACTCCTCCGCCGCGTGCACTGGCGGCAGTGCCTGCAATCTCTCCCTTCCCTGCACCGCGCACACCTGCCACGAAAGATGGCCAGGTAGCTGCTGGCGAGGTGACACCTGCTGTGGTCCGGCATCAAGAGCGCGGCCAGCTTGCACTGGCCTTGCGCAGCCGCGCCTCGACTCCCGTGCCTGCCGCTCCAGGTAACCCCGGAAGGGCCGCAAGCAGTGGACGGACGGGAGTCATGTGGAACGCAGTGAAGCAGAGGTACTACGTGCGCATCATATCTGCTCGCCGGCAGCAGGTTCGTTTGGGGTCCTACGAGGACAAGGACGAGGCATCTTACGCGTATGCTGCGGGGGCCGTTGTCCTTCGCCTTAACTCCTGCATCAGCTGCACGGTGCAGCTGTCAGACGGGGAGAGGCAGGCGCTAGCCGGCTGCACCGAGGAGAGTCTAAGGCTTCTGGTGAAGTACAGGCGCTGGAACAGGTGGAGGGAGTGAAGAGCCGCGTTGGAGGGTCTGGATGATGCCCAGGCGCCCGAGGCCCGTTCGCGGAGAAAGGGCAGAGTCTCCCGGGTCATGCATGACGTTGAGGAGGTGGAGGCGACCAAGCCCGCGAAAGAGGACCAGCCTATGGCTGAAGAACCTGAAGAACCTGAGGACCCACCGGAGGATTACACAGACGACGAAGAGTCTGTTGATGACGATGCTGTGTATGAACCGGAGGGCGATGACATGGAGGAAGAGGATGACTGGGAGGAGGTTAACCAGGAAGACACTGTTGCATGAAGGGGTGAATAGCGAAGCCGTTGGACCAAGAGATGTTTTAGATTAGTGCTGATATTGTCAGGGCTGATTACGGGTGCAGGTTAGATTGTCGTGGAAACGGAAGTTGCTGAATGTAATATGTAATTGAAATGTCTCCATAACTCTCTGTACATATATGTCGTTTCAACGCTTACGGAGACACATATAGTATGTGGAAGAACAAGCGGGCCAAGTGGCAAAGCATCTATGTTGTTAGAAGCAGATGTTGCAAGTGTTGAAATGATGCTGTGGGTTTGTGGTGTATCGCGTCTAACGTAGACGAGGAAGGGCCTGGGGTGTCACGGTCGTGCCACGATGACATTTTCCAGGTGCAAAGTGTGGCTGACATTGAAAGGTAATCCACGTGGCCACTCCAACCGTGACATGTGTACATGTGTGCGCGTGGACAATAAGTTGGGCCAAATTATGTGGCCTACAAACCCACGAGCAGGCTTCGCGATATCATCGAGGTAGGTGATGGGCCTGGTGCGATAATGAGTAGACCCCCAAGCGGGTTTTATCCACGCCATTTCGAGCCCGAGGTGTAAGTGGTCTTTGATTCTGTCTCGTATGGAGGTCGAGACGACTCCTGCAGAGGGCGGTCGTTCCAAGCGGAAGAAGAATGCGCCGTCATGGTTGGCGGATGCATATCAATTGCCGGAGAGGAAGAAAAAAGGGGGAGGCGTACAGGAGCCCAAGCGGCGCAAAACTAGCACAGTAAAGAGTGGCAAGGAAGTTAAGGAGGCGGATGTTAACGAAGGTAACACGTGGGCGACGTGACAATTATATTGCCTTTGATGTTGACATGATAATGCATGACACTGGTGAGTGAGGCCGTATGTGCACGCAAACCTGACACCGTACTACATTGAACACCCACTGTCCCAGAGACTTAAGAACTGACACTGCAGATATGCAACGCCAAAGTTGTCGGGGCCGTTGACACGGAGGCAGCCTCAACGCCCATTGTCGCGAGCGCACCCCCTGTGGAGGACGACACCGAGGCCGTGAAGGAACGCTTGATTGACGAGTTAATGGAAGGCGATGAGGAGGGCGACGAGGAAGGGCACGCTGGTGGTCAGTCGTCAAGCAACGATCCGTGTGGCGAAGACGGATCAGAGGAAGAGCACGCCCCCAAAGTGCCAACTTCGAGGAAGCGGAAAGAAGCAACCGGTGGCCACGTCACACGCGAGGAGTTTGAGGAGTTGCGTGAGTCACAGAAGGATACCGCGAAGACAATGGCTCGTCTGGAGTCACACGTTTTAACCATCATTTCCCTTGGCGAGGGGCGTAAGCGCAAGGGGGCGTCTCCGGGTGCGGCAGCCTCGCTTGGCAGAGAAGCTCTGAAGCGGAAACGCCAGTCAGATGATGACGAGGAGTCCACGTGCGATGAAGACGAGTTGCCGGCGAAAGTGGCGAGGCATATGACTTCCGACAAGTCGCAAGTGGTCCAAAGCGCCCTTGATATCCTTCCCGCAGAGAAGGCCTGGAAGGTGAGACTTCGCATAGTGTGTTCTGGTAACCTCATGGGAGGGTACTCGACAGCAATACAGATGTCGTCACCGTATTCCACCCCCCCCGCAACTATATATTCATTGTCGCAGGATGTTTGCGACCTGGTAAAGGATCATCTGTGTCTAGAAGCCCCGAACGAGAAGATGGACTTCTATCCGAGTCGCGATGCCAAGAACGCCGGCGTCTGCCATGTCATGTCCACCATTCCTCCCAAAACTGCGACACTAGCGTTAGACGCGGATAAGTCTCGAAGGCAGAATCTGAACAAGACCTTGTCAGAGTACAAAACGGGGTTGGCCGGTCGCGCTCGCGGAGTTTTTCTTCCCCGGATGGGTCTCTTCCGTGACGACGAGGACCGAGCTAGTCCTTGGGCTCGTAAGAAGGAGCGCACTGGGGAGCGTGCCCGAAAAAGATATGGCATTCCCGTCACAGACGATGGTGCGTGTACGCATGTCATATGGCCGGTGCATTTAAGGCCGGCAAGAGTGTCATGCCATTGCGGACCCATACGGCCATTGAACTCTCTCCGTCCCCCATGCGCCGGCATCATTGTACCCATATTTTATTCCATGTGCGCAGCGGAACCTGCCTTGTGCAATTGGCACATCAGCAAGGAAGGATTGCCCTTTGCTTCAGGAGCGTTCTCGGCATGTGCCATCGCGGCGTTCGGAGGGAAGCGCTCCGACAAAGAAACAACTCTAAAGCTGTACCACATGTCGTGGCTCGAGCACCTGGTACGTTTACACTGTTGCGCACAAATGATGTAGCCACGTCCGTAGAAGTCTCCGTTTTGAGTGGGTTTTTTTCGGCCATCGCAGATTACGGACGCCATTATCAACTAGGAGGCGCGCAAGGGGAAACTCCACAACTCACCGTGCGATAACGGCGCTTCTGTGCGCCAGATCCAGAAGCTGGCCTTTGATGCCATTGCAGATGCCGTGTGCGGGAATGAAGTGGCCTACGATGAGGAAAAGAAGTCCTGGAAGTGGGGCAGGCATGGGCTCCGTCTTTCATCTTGCGGCCTGGAATGCCTCCTGGAAGACGAAGCATCCTCCGAAGACGATCATCAAGAGTCCGATGAGTCTGATGAGTCGGAGAGTGAATCCGATGTGTGACCTGCTTAAGGTTGTTTGGCAAATTGTGTGTCGTAGACTGGTGTAGCGCCTTAGTGGGAGGAGGCTATAAATCGAGGACAAATATGCAGGATTTTTTAACACTTAGGGGAGACCGTGCTCAACCTATAAACAAGGATGGTTTTACCACAGTTCCGTGCGTCACGGTGAGAATTGCGGCGCAATTCACGGCGACAAATACGGCGGGTTAATAGGGGCCGTTAGATGCCATGCTAGTTTAAAGACGTGGCGAAAGACGAACCGTACCTCCCTCCGATCAGCTCGTCAACGATACGTTACTTATTGGGTGCCGGCACAAGTGTCAAATGTATGTTGGCCATGTGGGTGTTGCAGATGGTCACAGGTGTCTTATCGAGAGATCCGCGACGATTACACGTGTATGTGCGGTTGGTAGCTGTAGTCCTAGTTGGACATGGATCATCTCCGATCGGACGGATCGCGTAGGTACAGGTGGATTGCACTACCAATCTAGGAATAACATCTGTAACGTACGGACGGTCGCGATGTGGCGTATCCGTTTGAGTTTTGTAATCGGCGGCGTATCCGGAGCGGCCATGTGCCGGCTCCTGTTTGGCAAACCCTCGTTGCGATGAGACAATCGCCATCGTACAACTGTGGCCATCTGGACCCTACATGCGGCACGCGCCGATTCGTTAGGGAATGGCATCCACCTGGCATAAAGCGTTATTACACGTGGAGATATTTTGCTGACGTGGAATAGTGACTTCATGTATGCTCCAATGCAGCTATGTGGCAACGCACAGGTGTAACCGTGGAGTGTCATCACGGTGACGCAAATGTCACCGACGAACACATGACGTAAAAGCGACCCCCATGACGCTGTGCGTGTTGCGGCAATGTTGCGGGAACAATTGCTAGAAAGCTGCGTGAGAGTTGCCGAAAAGCCACTTTCCCCGTAACCCCGACACAGAAGCGTTTGACCTAGACTTTGATCTTGCGAAACCAAAGTTGCGTGAAAGCAACTTTGAAGCTGCTGGGCCGCAGCTTTTCCGGCCTTAGACTTTCGCGATGATGGATGGTGTCAGTGGAGGAGGCATGGGTGGTGGAATGAGCAGCGGCAATGGGATGCTGAAGGCACAAAGTAAAAGAACAATCTGTAGGTGGCTTTGCCAAGTCGGTAGTAGGGGAGATTGGCATTTAGTGCAGGTGTCTTGTATCGGTGTCATTGCTGCAACGGCTTGGGTGCAGCAGCACGCCTTCTTGGTACTTCCTGATTGTTGTTGACGACTTCTCGCGCTACACCACGGTCTTCCCCTTGCGCGCCAAGGGTGACGTCCCTGATGTCTTGATCCCTTGGATCCGCAGATCTCGTCTCCAGCTCCGTGAGCGTTTCCGCTCCGACTTCCCTGTCCTGCGTCTGCACTCTGACAGAGGTGGGGAGTTTTCCTCTGGCCTATTGGAGGCCTTCTGTCAGCAGGAGGGCATTGAGTAGTCGTTCACGCTTCCGGCCTCTCCACAGCAGAATGGGGTTGCTGAGCGCCGCATTGGTCTGGTCATGGAGGTCGCTCGTACCTCCTTGAGCCATGCGGCTGCCCCCCATTTTCTGTGGCCGTTTGCAGTCCGATACGCTGCGCATCAGCTCAACCTCTGGCCCCGTGTCTCCTTGCCCGAGACTTCTCCGACACTGCGTTGGACGGGAGAGGCTGGCGATGCGTCGCGTTTTCGGGTCTGGGGATCTCGAGCTTTTGTCCGCGACACGTCCGCGGACAAGCTCTCCCGTCGCGCTGTCCCCTGCGTCTTCCTTGGCTTTGTCCCGGACGCCCCTGGCTGGCAGTTCTACCACCCCACCTCGCGTCGTGTCCTGGCCTCTCAGGACGTCACTTTTGACGAGTCCGTCCCCTACTACCGCCTCTTCCCCTACCGCACTGCCCCGCTTCCCCCCCCGCCTCTCTTCCTCGCTCCAGGTGCTGAGGTACCAGACCCCCTCCCCCCTCAGGGTGCCGCTCCCTCAGGTGTGTCCCAGGTAGACCCGGGTGAGCCTGTCGAGGTAGCTGTTGACTCTCGTCCTGCTAGGGGTGCTGAGCCTGGGGGTGCTGCGTCTGGGGGTGCTGAGCCTGGGGGTGCTGCGTCTGGGGGTGCTGAGCCTGGGAGTGCTGAGTCTGGGGGTGCGGAGCCTGGGGGTGCTGAGCCAGGAGGTGCGGAGCCTGGAGGTGCTGAGCCTGGGGGTGCTGAGTCTGGGGGTGCTGAGCCTGTGCGTGCTACACCTGGAGGAGCCCTCTCCTCCCAGCAGCTGCAGGAGAGGTACCTCGAGTACTGCCGCCTCCGGAGAGGTGCTACTGGAGCTCGTCCCGGTACTTCCCCTCCTACCCAGGAGCTCCCCCCCATTCAGCAGATCCGCGAGTGGTACACACGGCGCTGCAGTCTTCGGAGTGGTGCTCCTGGTGCTGCGGACCCTGGGGGTGGCGCTGCTGCTGGTGCTGAGGACCCGGACGTTGGAGCTGCTGCTGGTGCTGCGGACCCGCCTGGTGGAGCTGCTGCTGGTGCTGAGGACTCGGACGTTGGAGCTGCTGCTGGAGCTGAGGACCCGGGCGGTGGCGCTGCTGCTGGTGCTGAGGACCCGGACGGTGGAGCTGCTGCTGGTGCTGAGGACTCGGACGGTGGAGCTGCTGCTGGTGCTGAGGACTCGGACGGTGGAGCTGCTGCTGGAGCTGAGGACCCGAGCGGTGGCGCTGCTGCTGCTGCTGAGGACCCGGGCGTTGGAGCTACTACTGGTGCTGAGGACCCGGCCGGTGGAGCTGCTGCTGGTGCTGTGGACCCGGACGCTGGAGCTCCTACTGGTACTGAGGACCCGGCCGCTGGAGTCTCCTCTGCTTCTGGAGACGCTGCGCGGCCGCGACCGTACTTCGTACCGCTCCTTCAGCAGGTTCTTGGGCAGGCTCCTCCTCCCTGTCCTCCTCCCTCCGTAGAGTGTCCCCCGCCTGTCCAGCCGCAGTCACAGTTACCGCCTACCTCGCCTCTCCCTGCTCCCTCTCCTTACACTGGTCCCACAGGAGGTCTTACAGAGCGTCGTGAGCCTGAGTCTCGTCCTGCGTCGCCTGTTCGTCCTGCTTGCACTGGTAGTCGTGTCCGTCGTGAGCGTCCTCCTCCTGTCCCAGGCACTCACTACATGACTCTGCGTCCCTCTACTGCTCCTCAGCGTGTCCCTCTACCGTCTCCTCCTGCGTCCTCTTTGCCTGACGTTCCGGACCCTGAGTCTGACCGGTATCGTGCTGAGCACCCTACTGTCACGCGTCTCCTTGCTACTGTTGTCACTGACCCTACCTTTGAGTCCTCGGCTGCGTCTGCTCTGGTCGCTGAGTTGGTTGACTTTGCTGCTGCCTGTCGTCTAGACTACGCTGCTAGCCTTGTTGCTGAGTCTGAGTCTGAGTCTGTCTGTCCTCCGTCCGTCGGGGGTGAGTGTGCTCTTGGCACGGACGTCCTTGAGGACAGACAGGAGGAGTTCCAGTGTCTTGCTGCTGCTTTGCCCCGTCTCGTGTCCTTGCTAGTTGCCCCTGAGGGAGACCCAGATGCACCAGACATCCCGACCCCGCGCACTTACGCTGAGGCGATGGCGGGTCCCTACTCCTCTCAGTGGCAGACAGCCATGGACGCCGAGATGGCTTCCTGGAAGTCCACACGCACCTACGTCGACGAGGTTCCCCCTCCTGGGGCGAACATCGTCAGTGGCATGTGGATTTTCAGGGTGAAGCGGCCGCCGGGTTCTCCGCCTGTCTTCAAGGCGCGTTACGTGGCTCGAGGCTTCAGTCAGCGAGAGGGAGTTGACTTCTTCCAGACCTTCTCCCCCACCCCGAAGATGACTACTCTTCGGGTGCTGCTGCACATAGCCGCTCAGCGCGACTACGAGCTTCACTCACTTGACTTCAGCACTGCTTTCTTGCAGGGCAGCCTGCACGAGGAGATCTGGCTGCGCCGCCCACCTGGCTTCACTGGGTCGTTTCCTCCTGGTACCCAGTGGAGGCTTCAGCGGCCGGTCTACGGTCTCCGCCAGGCTCCGCGTGAGTGGCACGACACACTGAGGACTACACTTGCGGCTCTTGGGTTCGCGCCTTCTACAGCTGACCCGTCGCTGTTCCTGCGCACCGACACTTCGCTGCCGCCGTTCTACATCCTCGTGTACGTCGACGACTTGGTCTTTGCCACTGCTGACACTGCAGGACTCGCTCACGTGAAGTCGGAGCTGCAGAGGAGACACACGTGCACAGACCTGGGTGAGCTGACAAGCTATCTTGGCTTGCGGATCACCCGGGACAGAGCACGGCGCACCATCACCCTGACTCAGTCACACATGGTGCAGCAGGTTCTCCAGCGCTTCCGCTTCACGTACTCCTCGCCTCAGTCCACTCTTCTGCCTACCGGTCACTCGCTCTCAGCTCTGCCTTCGGATGAGTCCGTAGAGCCGAGTGGCCCGTATCCAGAACTTGTGGGCTGCCTCATGTACCTGATGACCTGCACTCGACCTGACCTTGCATACCCTCTTAGCATCCTTGCACGCTATGTCGCTCCTGGCCGTCACAGGAAGGAGCACATGGATGCCGCTAAGAGGGTGTTGCGCTACTTGTGCAGTACGTCGGGCATGGGGCTTGTGCTTGGAGGGCGAGACCGAGTTGTTCTCACAGGGCACTCAGACGCTTCTTGGGCAGACGACCAGGCCACTCAGCGGTCGTCTCAGGGTTACACCTTCAGCCTTG